TGTATTTCAAAAATCTCTGTGTGGGAGCAATCCAAAAGCAAGGCAGCTCTCTTGGGGTAGACAAAAAAAGCTTTAGGTCAGATGGATCCATTCTGTCTCAAAGTGTGGGATGGGGGAAGGAGGGGGACAGTAAATGTTGAGCTCTGCCACCATGGAACTGCTGAGGTGGCAGGGTCCCAGTTTGGGGTGAGTGACAAACGGAGACTGCCAGTTTCTAAGAGCTTAAATTTGATCTGCAGCTGGAATAAATGAGAAAACAGTGCTGACTCAATGGGCACCTTTTATCTTCAGAAAGACACCCATCTTTCTGAGGCATCACTTACCCTTGGATGCCTTTACAAGCAGGCTGGGTGAATGTGAGGTACAGACAGGTCTGTCATAAGCAAGAGAATGGCCTTGAAAACCTGTTCCATAACGTGAACCCCATTTGATTGATGGGTGGCAGACCTGAGTGGTGTGGGGTAACTGTCTTCTCCCTTTGCTGACCTGTTCACACTGTCTTCAGAAAAACTCAGCTGCACCAGTTTTCACTTATTCTGTCCGTAGCAGCTTAAAATTGGTGTAACTTAAGTAACTGATACAATGGACTTGGCACAAACTTGGTTTTGCTTATTAAACTAAGAGTATGCAACAAAATAATTGCAATGCAAAGACTTGTTATATCTTCTCTCAATGAAATTAATAACTGCTTCCACCTTTTTAAGCTGATCACTGAAAAATTGGGCAAGCAAGAACATCAGTCTGTGGAAGATGTCACTAACTGCATTCCCACTGCCACTGTTGGTTAATACTTAACTAAGTTTTGGAAGTGCTTTGGGATGATGAAACGTGCTGTGAAAAAAAGCTAACCACTACCGTGTCACGGCACGTGACAAAGTACCATACTTCTGAAAGGCTTTAATTTGCAAGGTAAACAACACAAATCTTCTTAGCTCCTCATAAAAAACAGACTGTTATTCTCAGTAAGTCACATCTGCTGCTCAGGTATGAAAGCCCTCAATTAGCTATTGCATTCATTTAAGTAACAGTGAGTAATATGTGGTGTGGGTGATCGACAAAGGCTCAGAATTTTGTCCATGAGAACTCCTGTAAGACTACAGCCAACTCGAAGTGTAGCATCCTTGATGTTGCAGTAAATGGGGGGAGAGGGCACCAATGGGGTGTTCAACCTCTTTAAAGCACACCCAAACAAACAAACGAGCACTAGTCCAGAACTGGGTAAAAAGCTGAGTGTACCAGTGAAAGAGCGAGCAGTGGTGAAACTCATGGTGGGAAGTCACTCTGGGAGTGCTGCGGGTCAGCTTTGGTGCTGCACAGAGTGAGTCACTTCATTTTGTATGGAAGTTTGAAAACAGGCGGGAGAGAAGCTATGAGAGACAGACATGTTCAACCTAACAGGTTGGGCCTAAGTAAACTGGCAGAGGAAAATCTGTGTGGTGGACTGTATCTTCAGATTGTAACATGGTACCACCACCTACAGTCAGTCTTTGACACTGTTCTTCAGAGGTCTGCACATGACTTTCAGCATCC